CCCCAAAACCCCAAAACCCCAAAACCCCAGGAGTATATATAGGATTTGATAAAATGATTTTGTTTTTTGTTTTACCAATTTTAAATTAATTTAGACACTTTATGTAATTGAATCAAAGTTTTCCTACAATTACAGCCTTTCTGTTAACTGTTTCAAATAGCCCATCTTTGTAGCATTCTCTCCCAAATCCACTTTCTTTTACACCACCTCCTGGAATAGCTGCATCACTGGAAACAGCCTCATTAATGAAAACATTTCCTACTTCCAAAAACGATGCTGCTTATCTTCCTCTTTAGATATTTTAAGTGAAAACACTTGCACTTAGTCCATAGATTGAATCATTGGCAAGATCTATAGCATCATGATCACTTTTAATCTTAAAGAGTGAAAATACAGGCCCAAACAATTCTTCGCAATATGCAGGTTAGTCTTTTGTGATGTTTTCCAAAACTAAGGGATGAAAGTAATTACCATTTTTTAACTCCTCATTTGGATGCTCATACTCTAGATTTCCATAAATAATCTTAGCACCATTTTATAGTGACTTTTAAATCTGATTTGTGAGTCCTTCTTTTGCTCTTTATGAGCTTAAAGGGCCAATAGTTGTTGTCATATCTAATGGATCACCAATCTTGATATGTTTGTCAAGACCAGCTTTGAGTTTTTGAACAAATTCATCATAAACTTAAGCATGAATCATAAATCTTTTTGCATTATTACAAGCTTGGCCACTTGTATGCAATCTTGCAATAATTGCTTTCTAAACTGCTAAGTCTAAATCAGCATCTTCTAATACAATAAAAGCATCTGAACCCCCTAGTTCGAATACTGACTTTTTCATATGTCTTCCACAGAGTTCAGCAACTTTTTTCCCTCCCTAAGTGCTTCCAACAAACTTTACACTAGTTAATCTTGGATCAGCAATCAAATCAGCAGCTTAATTATGATCAATGAAAAGATTTGTAAATTCTCCATTGTCAAACCCACTAAATACAATTATAAGTGAAAATGTTTACGAATCTCTAAATAGCAAATCCAAGTTATTAGCACTTTATGGAACTTAATCTGAGTGTTTAAGTAGAATAGGATTCCCTAAAGCTAAAGCTGGAAGGCCAATTTTAAATGGAAGCCAAATTGGAAAGTTCCAAGGAACAATATCTTAGAAAATAAATCATAGAATTTATCTTACTCAAAGTTGGTCCCAAAGGTTAATTTCTTACTGTAGTTTCTGGGAATCTTGTCTGAAGAATCTCGTCAGCAGCTAAATCTCTAGTATTTTTTATATAGTACTCTACTAATCCCATTGATTTTTCAACTTCTGCAATACTCTCCTTCAATGGCTTGCCCATATCATTAGTGATCCCTAGAGCAATCTTTTCTTTTCTATCCTTCATTAAAGATATCAGCTTTTAAAACTTTGAGAATCGCTCATCGAAACCTTCTCTTCCTTAATTTCTCATATACTTATAGCTTTTATAAGACTTTTCAAGATGTTCAAACATCTGCTAATTAGTTATAGCCTCATAACTCATAAACAACTTATTGTTTTTTGGGTTAATACTTCTGAATGCCATTATTTTCCAATTTTATTAGACTTAAAAAATCTTGAATAATTTGGAGTAATCACTTTTAACTCTTTAATATAATCATGAATATCTTGTCTTAAGGGGTTTTGGGGTTTTGGGGTTTTGGGG